TAATTATTACACGTAAAAATGGCAGGCGGAGACTCGCCAACTCACCGACCGGGCCCCGGGAATGGTTGCTAGATATAGCAACAGAGGGGCAACGAGAATGTGAGTGGCTGAAGGGTTAAGAAACTACCACCGCTTTCTACTCAGATCATCTGCTCCAGCCGAAGCCTCCTGCATCCCTGGCCCACTCGCGACTTACGAATAGTTTCTTACCCTCCGAGCAGGATCACTGCTCTCGCGACTCCACTCTGGACGGCCAATGAAGGCAAGCCAGAGGTGGGAGACCTGTTCCTTGTCATCGTTCACTCCAGCCAGCCAATTAAGGCAAGCCGGAGAAGAAGGAACGGTGACTTCTCCCTGGAGCACTCGGGATGATGGTAGCCCGCGGGATCGCTAATGCCCGTCACCTCGCCTCAAGGTGCCCTGCGGGCTTATTATTATTATTATTATCACTCGAGCAATGAAACAGTATTTTTTTCAGTAAAGCTACAAGCTATGTGCAACGCGAAACTCCTAAAGGTTATATTAAATATAATTTCATTTCATTAAGTACAGATATTTCAAGAGTAATAGACCGGACAAATTGAATCTTTCTATCGTAGAAAATAAATAGTTTCTTCTGTCATAGGTCTTCTTGTTCATATTATACGGTTGGTCAGATATGTTTCTATTTCCTAGTATTGTCAGCCTGTAAACTGAGGGCTAAGGTTCCTTCTCATACAAAGTTCCGAGAACTGAGGCATTTCAAATAAACGTTTCCTTCAGAGAAATCCAAACGTATTTTCGCTTTGTATTTTTTTTTTATTTAGAATTTCTTTCATAATATTACGTTTATATTTCTTTGAAAGAGTTCAACTTCAATTTCGATGCACCAATCAAAATTGTGTGTAAGATTTTGTGTGACACAATAAAATTATTGGTCTATTGGTTGCAATAACAAAGTCACGAAAGTGTTTGATCTCCAAGTGGCTAAAGAGTTATTAACTTAAGTGAATCGATTCATATCCCTTATTTTTTTATTTGTTTGGTAAAAGAAACATGCAATTACAATGATAATGCAACAAAAAATCGAATGCCTTAATTCTATCCATACTTCGCTGCTTACCTTATTTTGACAAACAAGCGTGATGTTGATAAACGTTCATATTGCAAGTTTTGTGAACAAAAACTATAAGAATGAAAGAATACCAGCTATTTCTCGATTGTAGACTATATTCTTTTTATATTATTTTTCTGTTTCTACGCGAAGGAGTTTTAATTTATTCTGCTTGTGGCCGTTGGCTTATTTCTCTTATATTGTTACTATTTACCAACAGCAATGGTAGATTTGAAAAGTTCAGCTGATTTCATTGCATTGCTAATCAGATAGAGAGTTAATTAATTAAAAAGTGTAAAATAGTACCTAATGTGTCAGCTCAATGACTGCTTCGTTGTCCGAGTTCCATTCTCCAGTGTGGCAAAAGTATCTGTAGTAGCACGGGGTCTAACTCTTACTTTCTACCAGATCCCTAATGCATGATGTAACTTTTTTTTCTGCAACATAAGGCTTAATACCTACTTTTGGTTGAACTGACATTTTAGGTAACCGAAATATAGAACTAAGCGTCGTTTCTGTTTGGATAAAAGGTAATTCATTAGGTAAGAGTGGCCTAGTTTGTGGTGTATACTAATTAAACACCCTTTAATATTTCTAGAACAGTCCACAACAATTGGTTACTCTAAGTAATTGATAGTTTCCGATAACGAAATCGATCAAGAACACATTATTTGTCTTCATTTTCCTTACTTTTCCTCAGTAAATCCTTCGACTTAATCGAAGATCTTATCCGCCATTAATATTTAGTCCGATACACGTGCACGATCGCTAGTTCGCTTCGCTACTTCGCTAGTAATTCTGTATTTTCGTCACTAGTCCGACTTGCAAGTTCCTAGTGATTAATGCGAAATGTCAGGATGTACTCTCGTACCGTCTCGGACGATTAACTTAAGCGACGAGTATCCATGCCTGAAAGTGATGTCACCGTCTCTTGGTTAATCGTATTCAGTAGTTTTTGGCACGTTCGGAGTAAGAGTATGTTAAAATTGACCTAGTTTTTAATCTAGCTGACCTGTTTCTTTCTCACCTTGCAAACCTTCCTTGGACTTCCGCGAACATTTCAAGAACAAATTTTTGAAATTAGCCAAAACGGTTCAGCCGGTCTCTAGTTTTAGCGAGACTAAAGAACGTCATACTTTTTAATCCACAAGGGCCTCAGTGAAAGTGATATGTCTACATGATATGTAGATATTTAGGTAACACCCTCTTGTAACGGTTATATTGTGAGTCCTATGTCATAGAGGGATCCCGGGCACAATTATTCCAGGCTTCTTTTCCAGTCTCCTACTGCTTTTACAGTTCTATTTGTAAGTATTAGGTAAAGTCGTGAGGTACCTTTTTTTGATGACGAGGGGAAACCTTCAAAAGTTGCCTAGCTTTTCAGGGATGAAAGACTAAGGAGTGTGGCATTTTTACCTCCTAAAACCACCCCGGTGGCCACCCAGAATACCTCAAATACCTGTATGGAGGCACCGGGTCCTCTAAAAAAGACCTGCTTCGAAGAAAGTCGTGAGGTACCTACTGACAATTAAATGTTATAATTACAGTGTTAGAGCGCTCGGATTTAGTAGTTCAGTCAAGTTGAAACGAGTAGACTTTTAATGGTGATCAGCACCACCTATCTACAATAGGGTAGATGCCTAATTTTTATTTTAATGTCCGTCTGGTAGATTATTTTAAATCTTTAGACACGTATTTTTTTATTTTCTTACAGAAACGAATACTTTTGACTATATATTGATTTGAAATGTCGCGTGACGTCACTTCTTATGTACATTTTATACGTAGAAATGACGTCTTAGCCCCACTCTTAAACTTTGATTCGTTTTATCTAAGTATTGTTTTATTATACGACAAAATAAAAAAATACGTGGCTAATATTTTTTCATTACCTTACGGACTAATTAGATTTTTAATTATCATACCCTGTCATGATCCCAATTGTAATTGTACAGTTCCATATCTATCTGATAGGTTATTCCATTTCATATATTCCAGGTAAAAATCTGTCTTTGTGTCTGGTGCGGGACAATACCTAAGTACGCCCCTATTTTGAGGTTTGTGTTACTAGTTACATTATACACTTCTGGACACATCTATTGGCCCACCTTGTATTTTCAGTTTCGTTTGGTAGGGTAAAGATGCCTAATATGAGATACCATTTCCATTTTTGGGTATAAAAAAAAACTGTTACATTTAAAGCTTTCTAAGATATACTTTTAGATAGAAAATTTAATGTACTTTAAATGTATATTAGCTATTTTAGGCTAAATTATATTATTTTTTGGCTATGCTGTAAAAAGTGAAAAATATCAGAAAAAAATTCCAAGGCAAAGGGCGCCTATTATGAGATATTAGGGGTTCTAAATATAAGATACTATCTTATATTAGGTTCCATAAATTTTAGGGGTCAACAAACAAAAAAAAACAATATTAACGTCATAATCACATTTTTATTGTAGGTAACTTATTAATTAAATATTAAGACAAATCAGTCTTAGCAGTTTGGTACATTAATTATTAAATTTTAGACTAACATCAGTCTTCAAAATTTTTACTTTACTTAAACATAACAAAGATTTGAGCAGAACTCAGTTATCATAATAAAAATTAGCATTTTTAATAAAATTTTAAAATAAAGGTTATCAAACAAAGAGAATATAATAAACAATAAAAAAATTAAAATCTTTTCTAAATTATTTTTTAGTCTTACCATGTCTTACACATCTAAACATAATGAACACAAAAAACGATTCGATGCTACATCTCCACAATCTTCATGAGCCCATTTAAAACAACTATCACATTTGGCCCATTTTTCTCCTCTTGTATCCTGCGAAAAGTTACCGCTACAGTAGGGACATTCAGCATCATATTCATCCCCACTGCTATCTGCCAGCTCAGGCATGTCATCGTCTTCGGAACTGGAACTAACTTCTTCAGCTTTTTTCTTTTTAATAGGTTTTTTTTCATTGTCTGCTGTTTTTTAACTGATTGTTTCTTCTGTCCTTTCTTATTTTCTTTTTCTTGTTTTTTATTTAGGGATTCTTCTAATGACTTCTTATACGGAGATGCCGTGATTATAGAAGCTGCTCCAGTTCGGGTTTTCTTAGAAGAAGAATTGTTCTTAGGTAGCCTGGGCACTGGCTTAAGTGCAAACGGGGAGACAGAAGACGATGTACTGGGTACTGGATTGTCATAAACACTAGCTGTTGAGGCTGTTTTAGAAGATGCTAATCCTTGGTACTCATCTGAAGGATTGTCATTTGTAATTCCGCTATTGGGTAAGATTTCAGTTGGCTCTGATTGGTTTTCAATCGAAGTAAGCACATAACTAGTATCTTCCAGATCTGCGTTCTCGTCATTTCTCTGAACATTAAGTAAATCTTGCTCTTCATCCCCATCATTAAAGATTGAAAACTCTTCGTCTGTAAAAATATGTCGATTGCACGGAAATAACCCAGCTTTGCGAAAACCGTTAACGGAGTTGGTCATGGTAGCAGCTTTTTCATAAGCCGCACCAAACAATCTAGCCACATATTTGTTTGTTAGAGTGCGCCCCGAATTATTACGCAGCCAAGTTTCAATTTCTTGGGAGTAGTAAGCTTTTAGTGGCTTCATAAATGCTACATCCATTGGTTGCATTCTATGAGTGCAGTGTGGCGGTAAACAAACTATAATTACGTTGTTGTCTCGAGCTAAATTAATAAGATCGATATTTCTCGTGTGTGTGTAGTGGCCATCTAAAACCAATAAAACTGGATCATCTTTACTTGGCTTTGTAAAGTTGATAAAATGCTGAAACCACTTTGTGAATAGGTGTGTCTGGATCCAGCCTGACGGATGACAATCGCCAATGGAACCTGCTGGTGCACCATCCATTAGGTCTTGAGCCATATTTTTCCTTGGGAAAACTATTAATGGAGGCACGTAGGTACCACAAGCGTTCATACAGGTCACTATGGTCATGAGCTTTCCTCTTTCCAGAGATGTCAACGCACCGACCTGTTTTTTGCCTTTCATACTGACAACTTTGGAACGTTTATGTTGAACTACTGTTATTCCTGTCTCGTCAACGTTGTATACCCTATGTGGAGCGGATTTTATCTTATCAAGTTCAGGCTCGTACAAATCAAAAAAGTTGGCGACTGCAACTGGATTAAATCCTTTTACTCTAGCAGCAGAAACTGCTTCAGGTGTCCTAATAGATAATGTAGGATGTCTCCTCAAAAATCCACGAAGCCATTTTTTACCAACAGAAGCTTTAGTAACACTGAAAGGATGCCTCAAATTATTTTTAATTGCCAATTGAAACGCCATGTATTTAATGTCCTGCAGACGTAAGCCATAAAATCTTCTATCCATTTCTTTGCAATACCTTTCCAGCTCGGCTTCTAAATCAATAGGCAAGGCTGGCCGTCTTCCCATACGAACCTGGACAAGATCTTCTGCGCGGACATCCTTTTTCACATAGCGCTCAAGGGTACCCTTAGGAACACCAAATTGTTTCGCTGCTCTTAAGTAACCCATTTCTTTTCTTCGTACTGCATTCACAGCCTGTATCATGGCAGCGTGGTCCCAGGTCTTTCTTTTGATGGGAGGCATCTAAAATAAAAAAATATACGGTTTAACCCAACACCCATGATAATTGTTCTTTTTGTGTACCATAATATGAGATATCTCAATTTAGGAACCCTAGCATATCTCATATTAGGAAAACAACAGTTTTAGAAAATGGCTGCCTTTTTTTTTGTTTCCAAAAGAAAATACAATTTAACTGCATTCATAACTTAAAATTTACCATATAAGCTACAAACAAAACATAAATTAAATGCGTTTAACGTAATAATAAAGTTGTTACGTACCTTGTAAACATTTGATGAAAAATATTTGGTTTTACGATGTTGAAATAACCAACACGCACACGTTCTTACATTGCCGTTAGCCGGCGCGAACTGACAGACGTTTAGCACTGTTGATGTGTCAATCCGAGCCACACTAGCGCCAAATGACTGACGTGAGTAGTTTGACCAATATCTTCCTATCTCATATTTAGCGCCTATCTCATATTAGGCATCTTTACCCTACCACAGAAGCCAGCTAATGGGCCCAACAAACTAACGCGAGCCCACCGAACAGCGGGCCTTCATTTCGCACTCAGTCATTTAAACTGGACACAGCAAGATTGGAGCCGTGTACTCTTTTCTGATGAGTCTAAAATTGTGTTAAATAGCAATGATGGAAGAAAGAAGATCTACCGACGTAAAGGAGAGCGTTTCGCACAATGCTGATTTGAAGAGAGGGTTGCGTAAGGCCACCGCCTTGGTGGCCCTACGCAACCACAGACAGTCTATTAGCCACCGCTCATGGACTGTCTGGGGCGGTATATCCGCGAGCGGCAGAACTCAACTTGAGGTTGTTACAGGACCACAGCTGACAACATTAAATACTGCAAGGTACATTCGTGAGTGCTTAGAACCTCACGTGATATCATACGCCGACTTTGTGGGCCCAAATTACCTTTTTATGCATGATAATGCAAGAGCCCATGCGGCCGACATCATCAGGGAATATCTTCGGGATGTGAACATCAGTTGCCCAGACGATGCAGGAGTAGAAAACTGCCATAGAAGAGGAATGGGAGATGATCCCTCAATGTTTCATAGAGCGGTTGATAAACTATACCTAATCGTATGAGAGCTGTGGTAGATGCCCATGGAGGCAACACGCGTTATTAAATTAAACCTTTATTTGATAAAACATGTTTTTTATTCAAAAATCAAAATTGCCTTTAACAAGGCGCATATCCGATTTGTTAGGCGTAGCTCCATGTCGTATGGTATTCTGAATCGAAATTTAAAACAATACGATCGAAAAAGATAGTAAAATGTATCAGGTTTAAAACTGTGTCAAACAAAAGTTTTTGTTCAAACTAGCAATCATATTTCGGTAGGGGCCATCGAAACCTAAACTCTAGGTGGGCCAATAGACGTGTCCAGAAGTGTATTATTTTGTGTTAGTTATGTCTATCCTCCTTTTTATGTTAGTTATATTCTCTGTTTTTGTTTCTACATACAGCTGTTTTTCTATCTAAAAATACTTAGCCAAAATATACAGACGCCTTCATATTATTAATAGAAATATTGAAACCTTACACACTCTATTTACCCAATGACTAATATGGTCATGAATGTTAAATCATGGTTTTTTTTTAATATTATAGATTATTTCTCCACGGACTCTAGGTCCGTGCCCTTGTCATACAGTTTTTTAATTATAATACATCTAGTCAATTTTTATAAAGTAAAGAGGGAACCTAGTTACACACTACAATTAACTACATCTATAATTATTACCAAAAGTATAGGTTACATAATAATTAGGCACTATTTATTTACTTCTATTTCAAAGGCTTTATGAAACCAGCCCACCAACAAGATGGGAGAGCCGACCTGACCCAGCAGAAGGCACCCGTTCACGAGTATGACGTGTGTGTCAGCAATTGGTCCGGTCAACCTTTTTATTGGGAACGGAACAACCCAACACACAGCGCCACCGACTGTAGGGTTACATCATGGTTCAACGCTATGGCTTTTGTTAATGTCAAAAGCATGTTTTTGGTTTGCCGTACGCTGGTCGTAGGGTCGTGGTTTTGACCCGAACCCCGAATACATCGTACCTACCCTACCGAGAGAGAGACAGAGAGTACCCAGTAACTACATGTGTAGGTAGTATGTATTTACGAGTATATTGGATGATATTAGAAAACATCTTTCTTATTAG